AAACAACAAGAGCTAAACTTCATTGGCTCCATATTGATCACAGGATAAAAATCAACTTTTCAGTGGAAACAACATTTGTCCGTAGAGATTTGTTAAATTTATGATACATGTGGACTGCTGGTGTGGCCCTATAGGATCAGCAAAACACAAGGTTGGCAGTTCAAACTGACTAGATGGCACTTAACAGCAATGAAAACAAAGATACATACATGTATACCGCGGAAGAACAGGCAACCTATTTAAAACAAAATTCAGTTCTGTTTGTGAAATAAAAAATCCCCAAGATATATGTTCAGTGGGATCATTATATATTATTGACAAAATCAAAGCACACAATTACACTGCCATCTGTGTGTGTGTATGTGAATGAGTCAGTGGATGTACAGGAAATTGGTGACAGTGATTATATTTGTGGGAAGATGGGGTTTTTGGGAGACTCACGTTTCCTTATCTTCTTTTGTAACTCTTTGAATTTTGTACAAATGCATTTCCTATTTAAAAATTATGGTCATTCCTGCAGTAGTTGTTAAGTGCCATTGAAATAGAATGTTTGTACTCATAGCGTATGGACTATTTTTATGTGCTAATGGATAAAGACTAATTTGAAAACTAAAGGTAGTTGCTGTAACTGAATCATCTTCAATTAAAACTTGGGGAATTTTGTCCATCAGGTTCCTGGGGTATATAAATCTAATTCTGTGGATTCTCTTTCTACAACCAAGATCAAGTCTCTCGTACCTGCCAAAGTCAGTGGACTTAGCAAGAAGCCAGCAAGCATCCAGAGAAGACATCATCATAATTCTGAGAACAAGCCAGAATTGCAGATAAAAATCAGTGAGCTCTGGAAAAACTTTGGATTTAAAAAGTGAGTTGCCTTATTCTTAAAATAGAAAAAAATATTCTAATTTTAATACCTTTATTCCAATTACATTTTCTCGTTTGTGATGAATCAGTTTCTGTTCCTTTTACCATAATAGAATTATTTCCTTTAGCTGACTCTTTGTGAATGTATATAACGTTAATTGGTGTAGTTTCTTCTAATAAAAAGCTGGCATACTAAATTATTCTCCCTTCTAAATCTAACTTTGGACTCCCTTTGTGGCGCTGAACAATAAGAAGTAGACAGCTAACCACAAAGCTGGCAGTTCAAACCCACCAGCTGCCCCTTGGAAATCCTATATAGAGTCCCCATGAGTCAGACCCACATAGCAACACTTGACAACAAAAACACTAAACCTAGCTTTGGAATCTTTTTGTTATTTGCAAATTATTTTCACGGGGCCAACTTTCTTAGGTTTCTCCCCTTCTTACCTGTTTGTGTTGTAACGAGAATAAAGTAGTTTTAGGCAAGAGGTGGGAAGATAGTGTTGTTCTGAATGTAAAACAGTTTATTTCCTTAAATTATCACAGCTAAAGTTGGTGGGGAGGGCACTGAATTTATATGATGAATTTGCCAGGTTTCTCATGGATGTAGCAAACATTGTTTTAAAGAATTGACTCTACATTTTTTAATGCACAGTACTTCCTTCTGTTAGACTACGAAATTAGCCACAGGAGATAACACCAATTGTGTTATTCTCCCCCAAAAAGCAAATGTACGAAGAGTAAAAGCAAAAGTTAAAGAAACTAAAAAATTCCCTAGGGTTTGTTGTTGTTGTTGTTGTTAAGTGCCATCGAGTCAATTCCGACCAACAGCGACCCTGTGTAGGGTTTCCAAGGAGTGACTGGTGAGCTACCTAATAGGAATATTATCATGAGCATATATGAAATGCTATGAGGGGAAACATTTCATAAATGTTAATGTCCAGGCAATTGTCTAGGCAATTGGTTTTTGTTTTTATATTGTATAAAATCTAGGATTAAACCATACAGCAGCAGCTCTCAAACTTCTGCTCTTAGAAACCCTTTACATACCAGGAGGTGTGAACCATACTTTGAAAACTACTACTAGAGAGAAATTAGGAGTATTACACTATTCTAAATGTCTTTAGAAAACACAATGTACTGATGTTGAGTTGAACAAAAAGGTTTACCTCTGTTATAGAAGTAGAGCTTTCTTCCAGAAAACAAAATCGAGTAAAATATAGTCCTTAAAAATTTATTCACGCTTCACTTTTATTGATTTATAGCCAAACTTCAGAAAGACACTAAGGAGAAAAGAATGAAAGTGGTTTTTGTTTTTTGAATAACTGGTGCCCTGAAAACACTAAATTTGTTTTGCTGTGTTACTACATTTTGCAGAGATTCTGAAAAACTTCCTTCTTGTAAGATGCTGGATCCCCTGTCTCCAGTCAAAGATAACATCCAACTGACTCCAGAAACAGAAGAGGCTATATTCAACAAATGTGAATGTACTCGTGTTCAGAGAGCAGTATTCCAATAAATGCACGTTACTGGGACGCTGCTGCTTTCGGGGCAATCTCTGTCAACTTGAAGTCATTCATTGAATGAGGCAATGATAGCCTAAGAGATTTGTTTCTATAGATAATTTTGTAATTGAGTACATTTTGTACATTAACTATATATGATTGTTTCTCTTGTTCAACTTTTTATATTTCCATCAGAAGGTAAATATAAATAATTTTATTTATGATAGTTTTCTGAAAGTTTTCATGTTTTTTATGCCAGCCCCTGAAATTTATAAACAGTTACTGGCTTGAGAAGAGTGGTTGAACAGGTAGAAATTATTAAATAAATGGAATCCCTAAAGTCACTTGTAAAGTTTGGTTGGGATACAGGTTCATAGTGATGGAAAATTGCTGTTCAGCTAATAAAATGAACTAGTAGCTATATGCTGTTAATAGTCTTATTAAACTTCAGAAATTGCCTCAGTGTGGGCTAAAACTAAGTTTCATTAGAGCTACATAAAATACTAAAACTGCCGGGTCTTTGATACGTATACTATTGTAAAGAAAAAGGAAAAAGAGTCATCTAATACAAGTGACGATCGGATGTGACAGGAAGTATAGGAAATTTCAAGTATCTGACACATAAGAGGATGAAGGAAAGGAACACACAGTAGTTGAGTTGTTTGATGAGCCTCTCGTACTGTTATCATCTCTCGTTGGTGTTAAGCTTGAGCCCACTGCTGCTGTTACTGTGTCATTCCGTCTCATTGGGGGGCTTCCTCTTTTTCTCTGACCCTCCACTTTCCCAAGCATGATGTCCTTCTCCAGGGACTGGTCCCTCCTGATAACATGTCTGAAGTATCAGAAGTAGTCTTTGACATCTTCAATCTTTTCTCCATTGTGCATGATGTTATGTATTGATCCAGTTGTGAGGAATGTTGTTTTTACATTGAGGCCAATCCATAATGAAGATGGTGGTCTTTGACCTTCATCGGTAAGAATTGTAAGTCTTCTTCACTTCCAGCAATCAAGGTTGTATCCTCTGCATATTGCAGATTGTTATAGAGTCTTCCTCCAACCTTTTTTTTTTTAATATATATATATTTCATCTAATTTTATTTTTGTTTAATTTTCACTCAGAATCCGGTTGAGATATGTATATGTAAATGTGTATTATCCTTTAGGAATTTTATTTGGTATAACTTCACATTTTGGGTATACAGAAATCTTTTTTTTTTTTCTTAATGCAGCACAGTAGACATACACACTTAGTATTATACCCTAAGGTGTGCAATATATAAATTATTCACATTACAAAATTCAAAGTGGAAAACCTCATATGCAGGAAATTCTAAGAAACACATAACTAATTTTGAATCTTTGATTTTTGACACCATACACTGCTAGCTTTATAAATCTGAAGAAACCTGGCATAATACACATTTAAACAAGGTGTACATAGTAGGGGTTCCTTCCAGATGTTTAATACACTCCAGGAATAATTCGCATTTCACAGTGGCTGGTGAAATTCCATGTGATGAGGCATATAGTGCATCTGAATGATACTTCTAGAAGTATATTTATTACATGAGCATTTAAAAGATTTCTGTGTCTTCTATTCTCCTTTATAACGAGGGGGTCTTTTCTCTGTAAAAGCAAGAATACCTTCAAGTCTTGTCTTTTGTTGGAATGGTTGTAGCATAAGAAGCTTCTTTTATGGCTAATCCTGTTATTCATTCAACCTCCTTAATTGCTAATTTGGCCAATCTCATTGCCATAGGTCCCTGAGGTAAAGGTTCTCTTGCTAGATCCAAGGCCTTTTTATAGGCGGCACTCCCGTCTTTATTCTGCTCTAGAATATGGGCTGATCAAGCCTGCTGCCTGGCCATCTGATAGGCGTGCTGAAAGATGAGTCCCATTTGCCAGGGACATTCCAGTAGTGCACGGTACTCTGCATTCCTCCTGCATCAGGAATAATTGCCAACTTTGTTTCTACCAGGCCCATTTTTGCAAAGGAAGCTGCCACTCTTGCATCACATGTTAAAGCCAGTTCAAAACCACCACCTAATGTGAGTCCATTTATGGCTGCAGTAGTTGGCACTGGGAACGTAGCTATATCATTAATCCCTGCTCTTGCCTTGGAAACAAAAGGACCAACTTCACTGGAATGAATTTTGACTCTTTCCTTAAAGTCAGCACTAGCACAAACGACCCCTGAGTTTCACTTCTGATTATTATGGTCCATACTTTCTTACCAGATTTTAAAGCATTCATAGTCTTTGACAGCACTTTTATAAGATTTTTACACATTGCATTTTTGACATAAGCTCTTAATTCCAAGCACCACAGTTTCTCTATTTTCCTCCTCCAGGTACCGCACCCGCACCTCGTCCTCCGCCTTCACTTCAGAGCTGTAGCCCCTGCTCAAGGTAGCTACCCTGGTTACGGGTTCCCACCTCTGGGCCCACATCATAGATCCAACCCACGCGCTTCTCCCCATGCACATGGGGACACAGGCCCAGGCCGAACCGTGCACACCATGTGGTAACCAAGCGTGCACGGCTGGCCTGCCAGGCCCCTATTGCCTTAGATGCCTTAGCCTCCATGTTACCTGTTTACCGCCTGGACCAGCAGCTGTGGCTCCACCCCCAGCTGTGCCCTCTTCCTCCAATCTTGATGCCATTTTTAATTCCTACAATCACATTATTTGCTCAGCATGCAGATTGAATTAATATGGTAAGAGAACCCTGGTGCACACCTTCCCTGATTTGAAAGCATTCTGTATACATTTGATATTTGAATAACTACACATAGGTCTATGTACAGGTTCCTCATGAGTACAAATAAGTGTTCTGGAATATCATAACTCAAATGCATCAATTCTCCTATAGTCTTCCTTATTCATTATCCAATTTTCACATGCATATGAGGCTACTGAAAATACCATAGCTTGAGTCAGGTACACCTCAGTCCTCAAACTGCTATCTTTGCTCCTGAACACTTTAAAGACATCTTGTGCAGTACATTTGCCTGGTGAAATACATTGATTTCTTGACTGCTGCTTCCATGATTATTGGTTGTGGATCCAAGCAAAGTGAAGTCTATGACAACTTCAATATTTTCTCCTTTTATGACGATGTTATTCATTTGTCAAGTTGTGGAGATTTTGGGGGTTTTTTTACATTGAAGTACAACCTATACTGAAGACTAGCCTTTGATCTTCAGTAAAAATTTATGGCTTCTTTGATTCCAGCAAGCAAGGTGGTATCATCTGCATATCGCAGGTTGTTAATAAGTCCTCTTCATATAATCCTGCTTGGTGGATTATTTTCTCAGCATATTGGTTGAATAATAAGTATGGTGAAAGAATACAGCTCAGGCACACGCCTTTTGTGATTTTAAATCATTCACTATCCCAATATCCCCCTGTTCAGTTAAAAAAAACCTTGATTTTGATTTTTGTACAAATTCCTCATAAGCACAATTATTCAGGAATAGCCATTCTTCACAGTGTTATCCATAGTTTTTCATGACCCGCACTTTTGAAAGATACTTGATTTGAAGACTCTTTCCTTCTTTGTTGGTATTTAGAGTAACTATCACTCTGAGTATAGGTCAGGTTCATCA